GTGTGTGTGTGTGTGTGTGTGTGTGTGTGTGTGTGTGTGTGTGTGTGGGACTGAATGGGAGAGGTCTGCTAGCTAGCGTGGATGCAGTTGGCCTGCTCCCTTGACTTTGTTCATTTGTCGGGTTAAGAATCGAGGATCAATACGTGGATTATTTGCACAGTTCAAGAAGATGACGGAGGTGAGGATGTTAAACTAGACACAGCCAATGAGTCACTTAATGTGGTTAAAAAGTCTCGGTGGATGTTTTTCCGCCCAAATGCAAAGTGAATTTCACACCAAAGTCTGAAATGTAACATAATAGTGAGTTCCTTGTATACCTTGATGAATGAGATACATTTTTTTTTTTATCAATACCAATACTTTGAAAGAAATCAGATGTTGTCTTTTTTTACCAAAAAAACACAACATAAGCAATTTTTGTTGTTGTTTTTCCTTTTTGAAAGAATTGTTGCCGTGATACACATTATGATGAAATATTTGAGGGATACAACTAAACCTACGTAACTTATATCAAGTTATTACAAACTATGTAACCTCAATGTTTCTCAATCACCGTCAAACATCGATTAGAAGATCAACAGAAAATGATTTATATAATCATAATCAAGTTTAAGAAAATCAAATTTTTGTAATTTTTTAAGCAAAATAACTGAAGATTCTGTTGTGGCAACTTCTTGAATATGAGGATTTTCGTTTTTTCTTGGTTTAATTTGATAGTAAATTTTAGATATCGTTGAGTTTTGGACAGCTGGTCAAACAAAACAAGACGTCTGAAGATGTCAACTTGAACTCAGGAACATTTTAATGTGTTTCAATAGACATTTTACAGAGTAAATGATTAGTCAGTTAAAGTAATAATCTCGTAGCGATCCAATTTCACGGACACAAAGAGAGCGTGTGACGGTGAGTTTATAAAGTTATCAGTGAATGTAGCAGTGCAGTGTGTGTAAAGTTTAGGCTTTTTGTCAGCGAATAAATGCTAAAAACCCTCAAAGCCAAGTTCCCGTGTCTCGCCAGCCACCTGCTGGTTAAAGTGAAGGGAGTTTGCCTCGATGTTAGACACAACTTTGGCCCAAGCTCACTGAAGATGGGCTTTGATGGCTCTAATTCCTTGTATTTATTTATTTTTAGATTTGGTCCTTTGGCCATAACACGAGGACAGTGCAGAAATGGAGTCGAGAGAGGGGTACGGCATGCAACAGGGGTCCAAAGGGCGGGAAGTTTCAGTTAAATGGCGTGCGCTGTAACCACTCGGCTCCCAAGGCGCTCCAGTATATCATATTTGTAATCAATAAACTGCATAATGTTCTTTAGAAATTCACATACAAAACACATATAACATGTTTCAGTGTGCTCTGCAGCAGTTTTGTAGCTGTGAAAAGTAACTCGGTTGAAAATGATATTTACGTCCTGCACACTTCAGACTAATATGACATTACCTAGTAATGTAAAGAGTGACCTGTGAAAGGTATAAAGACTGACACGCTGCCGCCACAAGGCCATCAACGTTTCTCTCAAAACACGTCTTCACCAATGTTATCACCTCACTGCACTTGTGAGAAAGATCAACAGTGGTAATACCCCTCAGAGGAGGCTGTCAGCTTTCCATCAGCTGTCGGTGTTTTCACTTTGCCGGTTTTCTAAAGAACATTTGATTCTTGTAGTTTTCCTCTCCCTCTGAAAGGAAGCAGACAGATGTAATAGCCATTAGCCCCGGGGAGAGACGGCACAGATGTGTCAACAAGGCTTGACTTTTACAGTCCAAGTGAAGTCTGAGCAAACATTGGCTGTGTAGAGGCCTGTGTGGTTGAGCAGTGATCCAGGGACACGGTCGCACGGCGTTGCCCCGGGACTCCAAACAGACCGTGACTCTCGTTCTCATTACAAGAGTGGGTCAGACCACCCCAATACAGAAAATAAATAATGCAGGGGGAAAACCTGAGTGCTGCCACCACCTCACTGACAACATCCACACAAGCTTGTTCTACATGAATAAGTGCTTCAGCTTTTTATTTACTCCGGCTGTGAGCTGTATTTCTTACACTCTTAGTATTCTGCTGGTTTGGAAAATATGTGACGTCAGTTGGGGCTGCGACAGTTCTTTTAATAATCGATTCGTTTGCTGACTGTTTTCAGAATGAATTGATTGATTAGTTGGTCTATAAAAAGTCAAAAAAGAATCAAAAATACTTTAGTTGAAGTTCTCAAATTGCTTGTTTTGTCAGACTCAAGCCCCTATTGCGCGGGACTAGTATTACTTGGGGCCGTCTAGTAGTTTGTAATAATTGCGGTGGTCGTCTGTGATCTTAATCCCGCGCAAATCTTCCATGTCCGTAATTTGTCAAGTAAAATTTCCGACGCAAATTACTATATTTTACCAAACCCAGGGATTATGATATTAGTCCCCTGCAAATTGGTATCTCTGTGATTTGGGGTCGTATGTTTTTTTGGTTTTCTGTTTTCTCAACACATTTTTTCTGACTTTTACGTGGACCAGAATTATGGACTGTTTCTTTACGGTATTTTGTGTGCAAGTTCAGGAGGCTCATCTCGCTACACAGCATGGAGACCTATTCGCACCGGAGCAAGAGGTCTTTGTGAGTATTATATGAACATGAATTGGCCTATATGATAAGATGACATTTATAATATAATACTTTTGATATAAGCGGATGTTACGCAGAGCCTTTACATCATACCTGGGGGATAATGTCAGTACATTTGAGTAAAATACATAGACTTCACTTTTCCCTTGTGAATGTGCTGCACCAAACAGAAGTGGGGGGTTCTTTCTAAATCACGTGAGGTCCCCTGGTAATAAAAATCCCGTAGGAATGGGGCTTAAAAGCTTAAAACCTCAAAATATACATTCTAATATCAAATATGACAAAGAAATGTATGAACTGGAACCAGTGAATTATTGACATTTTTGCCTAAATAAAATCACTCGCGTTAAGCTCAGTCTTTGTCTGCCACTTGACTCGCTAAGCAGCTACCATTTATAATCTAAATCCAGTCATTTTTCACTTTCTTATATTCCCAAGGCCTCCAAAAAAGGAACTACAAAAATCAGATTCTCTATCTTAATTTGATCTCAATTTCCTGTTGCAACGGAAAGTCTGAGATGAAAGTGTTGAAATTCTAATTAAGCTGTAATGGCGGCAGCAAGTTGGTATTTCGTTCCTCTCAGTACATTTCTCCCGAGTCAGCCCTCTTCCCTCGCTGTATGTTTAGCTTGATCTCTTCAAATTTATTTCCTACTTTGTAACCAGAGGCAAGAGCCCTTGACTTGCTGCCCCCACAGCCGCAGCCAAGGCAGCCATTTAAGTTGTGATTAAAAATTAATGGTTGAGTGAGGATCATTGGAGAGGGAGCGGGGGGGGGGAGGGGGGCGGCGAGAAAAGAAAGAGACAATGCTCGAGCAAGAGGATATCGGCTGTGGCCCAAGCAGCAGCAGCTGCTCCCTGATAGAAGGGTTGGAAGGTCTTCTTAACAACTCTGCTGTGTTTAACTGCTGCGCTCACACCCCACCATGAATATTGCATTACCCCACTATAGGGCTCCTTGTGTTACCCGTGTTGAGCAGACCTGCAGCCGCAACGCCGATGCGTCCCAAGTTGAGCCAGCCCCCACTATGTGAGGGGAGGCGTCCGCATTAAAGCAGGCGCACCACACAAACCAGACCGGCGTACGCGCCACATAATTGGCAGACTGATTCAGAGAGGACCCCTGTTTCATTGCATGTCACAAGCAATTAAGTTCAGCCACACAAAAAAATGGAACAATATTCACCGGCATTTGAAACCATTGTTACGGTTGTATTTTCCGGCTTGTTTGAAGGACTACGTTATGAAAGGAGTTCCAGTTACCGAGCAGAAAAGAGGACAGGGATGGGTTTCTTTCATGCGCACATGCACGGCTGTAGTTGTTGTAAATGGTTGCGTTTTTAATACGTTTTAGCTTTCCGTCGAAGGTCGGTGGAATAAAGGGCAATCAGTTTGAGTCTGGCCAACGCGCTGCAACATCAGGCCGACTCTCCGGCCATTTCTTTAAGAGCGGAACAGAAATAGCATGAGACCGCACAGGGTCCTGACCTTGACTTTACCAGATGATGAGTAGTGGCACTTCCACCGCGGCCTGCCCTTTTCTTCCTTCTGGCTTCTTTCTCTGTAGCATTTCATTACAGCGCTTCTCAGAGTCCATTACCCACTGATACGTGCACTCGTTCAGTTCTGCCAGCATTGCTCCCCTGTAGTAGAGCTGTTTCGGGATTGCAACTCAAGAGTGCTCTGATTGGAATAGCCACCAATTTAAAAACATAAAATAAGAGCGAATGGATTCTTTGTGTGTGTGGGTTTGTTTTTATTCACAAACAAACGTCTGATTTTTGTAGATTTGGCCATCATTCTAATCGGTTATGGTGGTAATCTAGTCGCCAATTAGGGCTGGGCGATAATTCAATTTCAATGGAATCATATCCTGATGAAATCATATATCAAGATAGAATGATACACAATTATGTCGTTTAAATTGATAATAGCAAGCACATACAGTACAAACACACATTTCCCAAGAAAATCTGAATTGATGAATATTCTGCTTGTGGGAAGACCCCAGTGTAGTTCAATCTATTTTCTTAATTGGATTACTCAGTATTTGTGTGCATAGCATGTAGATTTTACCTTATGGTTATTTCATATAGACTATTCATTTATTGAACTACAAGAAAACATATCGTTATATATGTCGTTATCAAGATATGAAGTGACCTGTTTTGTGGTAGAAGATTTTGGCCATATTGCCCAGTCACCACTTATTTAGGCTGTAAAGCGTGATGAAACAGCCAGGCTCTCTGGAATCAGTTCTAAAGCTCACTTATTTAAAATGTTGTATCTAGTTTATTGAATAAAACAAAATATGAAAACTGCCAAGCTAGCTGTTTCCCTCTGCTTCCAGTGTTTATGCTAAGCTAAGCTAATGGACT